CATATTATTTCCTATTGGTTTTTATTGATAAAATATTTTTTGAGAATTACTAATTAGAATTACTAATTAATAAGAACAAAATGAAAAAAAATTAACTAAGAAAAAAAGGGAAGATTGGAAGGCGCCAAGTGGAAAATCACTAAAAAAACCTTAAATGCAGTTATTGGAATTCGAAGCGTGTTCCCTAATAGCTATGTTACTTCGGCTTTTAAAAAGCATTGACGTATTAGGTTTAACATTTTTTTCCAGAAGATTTAGCGCTCACTTATTGCTATATTACCTGAGTTTTAAATAAAATCGATGGAAAAATGTTGTTTTAAAAATATCAAACATGTCGCTCCCAGGACCTATAAGCTCGATTTTTGGCATGTTCAAGGTGAAACTTTCGTCATAAAAAGTATTATTTGTAGTGGTGCATATTCTAAACCCACTGAAGACAAGTGTTATCACTGTAATGAAAAGGTCACTGATTATATGTTTGTCGAACACAGACAATGGTTGTTGTTGTAGAAGAAAGGGAAAGGGAAGAGGAAAGAAAAGGGTCTGCAGTTGAGAATGATGACTATGCATAGGTGAGTTTGCAGAGGAAAAATATGATGAGAGGGTAAATTTGGCATTGCAAAGAATTTTACTAGCATCCAAAGATGAAGGGAAGCACAAGAGTTTGTTTAAGACACATTGTTATATCAAGAGCAAAACGTGTAATCTATTTGTGGATAATGGAAGCATGGAGAACCTAGTGTGCATAAATTGATAGATCATTTGAAGTCTTCCATATAGCTAAATGAGAATCCATACATATTCAGTTGGGTAAGCAAGGGCTCCCATGTTCAAATAACACTAGCTTGCATAATTCTTATCTCCATCGGAAAGCATTACAGAGAAGAGGTACTTTGTGATGTTCTTGATATGGATGTTTGTCATATTTTACTTGGTAGACCTTAGAAATTTGATAATGATATCACTTATCGGGGACAGGATAACATGATTATATTTACATGGGGCACACATAAAATTGTTATGCCTCCTATTTTGCACTTTGATATGAACTCAGGAGGAAAGAAGTCTAGTTTCTTAGTGATGACGCATAGTGAAATGGATCTTGATGAGGCTGTTGAAGAAACTAAATGTTTCTGTCTAGTGGTGATTAAAGGGTTAATGAGTGATGTAAATAAGGAAACAACAATTCCAGAAGAACTGCTAGAGATCCTAGAGGATTTCACGCAGTTAACTGCTGATGAACTACAAAATGATTTGCCTCTTATATAATATATTCAGCATCAGATTGACCTAATTTCGAGTTCTAACTTACCAAACCTTCCTCACTATCGTGTGATCTGTAAGGAGAATGATATTTTAAAGGAGAAATTTGAGGATTTGTTGAAGAAATGATTCATTCCTCAGAGCATGAGTCCATGTGCAGTACTGGTTCTTTTAGTCCCTAAGTAGGGAAATCAATGGTGGATGTGTGTTGATAGTAGAGCCATCAATAAGATAACTATCGAGTATTGATTCCTAATTCCCCGTTTGGAAGAGATGCTTGATGAGTTGACAGGTCCTAAGATGTTTTCGAAGATAGATTTACATAATGGATATTATGCGATCAGAATCATATTTAAAGATGAATAGAAAACAACTTTCAAGAGAAAATATGGACTTTGTGAGTGGTTGGTGATGCCTTTCGGGTTATTAAATGCCCCTAACACCTACTTGAGATTGACGAATCAAGTTCTGCGTCTATTTACTAGTTCTTTTGTAGTGGTTTATTTTGATGATATTCTGATTTATAGTAAGACCAAGAAAGAGCATATGAAGCATATGAAACAGGTGTTATAAGTCTTACAGGAAAACCAATTATACATTAATCTAAAAAAGTGTACATTTAACATTAATAAATCACTCTTCCTAGGTTTTGTTGTGGTAACTAAGGGATTCATGTTGATGAAGATAAGGTGAGTGCTATCATGGATTGGCCTACACATAAATCAATTATTAATGTTTGTAGCTTTCATGGTCTGACCACCTTCTGTAGGAGGTTTATCATGGATTTCAGTACTATCACTACACTTATTACTGAGTGTTTGAAAAAATTAAAGTTCAATTGGGAATTTGAATAAGAGCATAGTTTTGCATTGATTTTTTTATCAACAAACAAAACATTCAATAGAAAGGAGTATTAGGGGGTACTCCAACCCGATTACAAATGCAAACCGTCTACAAGAAATCACAAGGATATTTTAGCCATTCGTAAAAATTACATCTTAAATTATTTTTATATGCTAAAGCTAACAACCACCAAGAGAGAGAAATGATTCTCTGAACAATGGCCTCCAAATCACCAATCTCGTTGAAAAAATGATTTTATTCCTTGAATTCCAAATGCACCAACAAGTTGTGAACCAAAGAAGATTTGCAGAGTATAGGTTATACAAACTATTATGATTGGTGTAAGGTAGGGGTGGCAAACGGGTATGCCTGCCCTGTTTAGGCCCACCCCGCAAAAGTCTTAAAAAAACGGGGCGAGGCGATCACAGTTGAGGATGCGAGCCTAAAACCTAGATCCACCCCGCAAAATGTGAGGGGGGGGGGGGGGCAGAAAAAGCACGCGAGCACTGCACCTTTTAGGCCTAAAACTGCAAAATTTTATATAAATGCTCGTGCCCGCAAAAACCCGCGAAAAAAAAACAGGGCGGACACATTAAAAGGTGAAAGCCTAAACCTTTAGTCTGCCCCGCACTAAAGTGCGAGCAAAACGAACATGCCCAACGGGCCGGACCCGTTTTATCACCCCTAGTGTAAGGGTCCTTTGAATTCACTCAATTTATCTTAAAACTATCGTATACGGAAAATAATATCCCTTGTCCTCACATAACCATTTCTTCTCAATAAAAAAAAGTTAAAGTAAAATTATTCCAATTTATGTGAGTAGTATTAGAAAGTTATGGTTTCTTAAGTTTATTTTTATGGAAATGTTATATCTTTAGGAGTGGTCATGGATGGTTAATGTCTAAAACCAATGCATAACCATAAATAATCCATATATTACAACCGGTTATTAAAACCAATTCTCATAACCGGTTTTTATCTTTTAAAATGGTTATAAACCGGTTATATCCATAACCAATTTTATAATTAGTTTTGACTTAATTTTATTTTAAAATTGATTTTTTCAAAATCATAATATTGTTAAAATAACTATTGTTTTTTTTAAATTCATGATTTTTGGTCTCTAAATATTCAAAATCATAATTACTATTGTTTAAATTCATAATTACTATTGTTAAAATTCATGAATGAAAAGTTCATTCAATTCCTTCATTATTAAATGAAAAGTTAGTTAATTGAATGAATTCAATTTAACTATTAATATATATCATTTCATCTAATTCATCTCCATATTTAAAAAATATCAGTTTAGTTTTATATTTTAAATTTATTAAACCAATTTAACAATTAAATAATAATATTGGTTACAGTTACTCCAATTTATCTATTTTTTTCTTTCCTATATAATTCGTTGATTTATAATTAGAAATATGTGTTATTAAAAAATGATAATTATTTAATATTTAAATATAATTTTTGTATATAAATTACAATAAAAAAAATAAACGGTTGTTGTCGTTTGAAGAGTTATTGAATTAAATTAAAATTCTTATTTGAGATGGTTAAAAACTAAAAAATAAAATAAAAAGAATATAATCTAAATTTGCATTAATTGAATTAAACGGCAAGTCTATTTTGATTGTAGATATAATATTTTTCTTTTTGTAGTCATTTAGTTTGTGTGAACTGGAGGACTAATTTAAATAAAGAAGGACAGAGTAAATTAGAATTTTAATTACTATTGTTATTTTAACAATATTATAAATTTAAAAATTATGAATTTCAAAATCATAATATTCAAAATGATAATTTTTGGTTATGAATTTTAAACAATAGTTATTTTAAAATTCATAAAATTTTTATTTATTGAAAAAAATTAAAATAATATTTTTTTCAAAAAAATTAATTTTTTTTAAAAATAAAAATATCTTTTTTTTGAAAAAAAATTTCAAAATTTTTTTTTAATTAAAAAAATTGACTAATTTGATTTTTATTTTGGATATGGATGTCCAAATTATGGATTTGGTTAAAACCATATTAAAAATATATCCAAAATGTGGATTTGGTTAAAACCATACTAATAATTAACCGGTTTTTAATAACCAGATTTGAATATGCATATGAATTATTTAAATAACCGGTTTATTTGAACACCCCTATATATCTTCACCCTTTAAGCCTTGAAAAAAAATAAAAAAAAATCATGTGTAAATAAAATGCCTAGGAATAAAAAATATTTTGAAATAAATTTTTAAAACTTGAATTAAACATGAGAATATTGTATTTCCATAACCATATTTTCAATAATATTTTTTTGTAAACCTTGAAACAAACGCATCCAAAATTATGAGAAAATTCTAACACCAAATATAGCAAAGTTTTATACTACAAAGCAAATATAACTTATATGGATGTTAAGGTAAAAAATTATTTAAGAAACTACAAATTATATACTCAAAGTATAATATATTGTGTATTAAGGTTAAATTGGGATTTCAATTTTCTGTTGCTATTTTTCAGCTGTTGCCCCCGTATCCAGCGCTCATTTCAACCATTCATCTACTTTTTTTTATAACTTTTCAAACCAACAAATTTTCATTTATTTATTTCTTAATAGCAACAGGTATGTGTATCCATTAAATTGTATGTCAACCTGGCTTTGCTCAAGATAATGGACCGTACTTAACTAAATATTCTTAATAATTAATCATAAATTTAAAATCTTTTATATAATTTAAATTTACTTTACTAAAAAAACATAAAAATCAAATTACAAACTTCATATCCAACTCCAAAAAAAAAAAAAAAATTGATCAAAAATTATTAAAACAAAACAGAATAATTAATAAAGAAAAATGATAAAAAAGAACTACATTGAAGCATATAGGTTGAATTCAAGTGCAGCAGCCACTTGCAGAAACACAAGGGAGCTTATGAGCCCTAGCTACTGATGGTTTACTACCATATCCAATTTTAATTCCATTACTGTTGAATGCTACTGATGGTTTACTACCATATCCAATTTTAATTCCATTAATGTCATTGAACGCATCATATTCTCCATCCTTAATCTTTTTACATATTTTTACAGATGTTTTCACAAACGCCTCTTCAACTTTTTCTGCACTTTTCGCAGAAACCTCCATGAACATCAAACCATTCTCCTTGGCAAACTTCTCGCCTTCTTCAGTACTTACAACGCGCTTCTTAATGAGATCACACTTGTTTCCGATCAACATAATGGTCATACTCAAATTCGCATGTCGCCTTGCATCTTCTAACCAAGAAGCCAAGTGATCAAATGTTTCTCTCCTTGTTATATCATAAACAAGCAATGCACCTACTGCTCCTCTATAGTATGATCTTATTATCGATCTGAACATTTCTTGACCCGCCGTGTCCCATATTTGTAACTTGATTGGTTTCTGATCAATGCTGATCATCCTTACACGGAATTCCACACCAATAGTGACGTCGTGGACGGGTTGAAAGCGGTTGTCAGTGAATTGAAGTTGAATGCATGATTTTCCGACTCCAGTGTCTCCGATTATTATGTATTTGAAAATGCATGCATAAGACATTGTTTTTCCTGTGAGGGTTTTTTGAAGTGAGAATAACGAATGACAGAGAAAGAAGGAATATAGAAAGTGAGGTGTTGTGTTGATCATTCGAAAAACGATGCAATATTTATAGGCATAAAAATCATAGCAAGATTATTGCTAAGTGATAACAAACCTAGCTAATCTCAAGATAAGATAAATCAAAATAATAGTAACTAACTAACTCCAAAAAGTAATTTTTTTAAAGTAAAGTCAAAGTTCAATATTGTAAAGTCATTAATCTGTTTTTTTAGGGAGATATCTTTGTCGCTAGTTTTTGTTGATTGCTTTTATTGTTTGTTCTCTCTCTTTCATGTTGTTGTTCTTTTTATCTTTTGGATTTCTTGTGTTTGGCGATTTAAATATTTAAACCTATGATATATTAGTATTATTTACCATTTAAGAACCGATTCTTTAATTGAATTCTATACTTTTAAAATGTTAATACTACTCACACATGTGCGATTAACACTAACAAATTTTTAAATTAAAAATTAATGATTTATATAATAACTCATTTTCACTCAATATTTCATTAAAGTTTTAAATAATTTTTCCAAACTACAATTTTTCAGCTGTTGCGCATTCAGCTCTCATCTCAATCATTCATCTACTTTTTTATATCTTTTCAAAACAACAATTTTTCATTTAATCATGAGATCCAAATATATTTAATCTTAATTTATCCCATTATTATAAAAATAAAAATAAAACAAACACTTAATCATGTAAAGTAAACAAAATTTTTTTTTAAAGTTTGTCATTGAAAAACTTAACGTAAAAATTATTCTCAAAAGATTTTCTACATACATAAGCAATATCAATATAAATAGATTTGAAAAATCGTGAGGTGATTTACACCAATTATAAAAGTTACATCTAGGTCTATATTTGAATCTATAATCCAACAAATTCCAAGAGTTAGGCTTAGAAGTTTGTTTCACCACCTTCAAATACCAATAGAACATGTGATCACAAACATTATCTTCTACCACGTGTCGAATGCCAATCCAAACTGCAGCGTTAGACCACACCCTCGCAATCACCAGACACACACAAAACATCTCAACCACACCAAAACAAAAGACACACTAATTCATGGAGATTTAAGACTATACCCTTGGCATCCAGATTCGTACGCATCGGTAGACGATCTAAAATTAATCTCCATCCAAAAGCACCAATCTCCAATGGAACTTTAGTAGTCCAAACGATATCTGAAGCTGTCTTGGGGTTAATCTTCATCTCCAAATTTACCGGACAAACCAAGAATGAAAAGTAAGTTCTTCACCGAAAACAGGTCGTGGCAGCCATTCCCCAAGCATAGCTGTCCATCCTCTGCCAGACAGGATTTGCAACCGTAAGCAAAACCTGCAAAGCTTCAAAGTCACGCATTACAGCCAAGGGAAGTTTTGGAACATATCTGCAAAATTTCAGCACCAAACTCTGTTCGTCCAAGACCCGAAATCAGAAACAGCATCAAATTTTTTCTCTGAGGCAGCATAAAGATCAGCAAACAAATCTTTAAATTTTTCGTATCCGATCCACCCACTGGGCCAAAATGAAATACCAGCCCCGTATCCCAAATTTGATCTGAGAAACACCCCCACACCACCGGCATCCCAAATTTTCATTAGATCTCGTCAATTATTCTGTATTTTAAAAACCTTAGAATAAATTCATTTATATTCTTACTCTTTATTTATGTAGAAAATCTTAAAATAATTTTTAAGTTTTTCAATGACAAACTTTTTCAAAAAAATATTATTTACCTCATATGATTAAGTGTTTGTTTTACTTTTATTTTAATAATAATTGAATGAATTGAGATTAAATATGTTTTGATTTTCGTTTTTATTGAAAATTTCTCTAAATCCAAAACTTTTTCTCTCTTTTCATAAATAATGTTTTTAATCAATTTTATTCTTGTTTCTCAACCACTGAATTAACACTACAGAGATAGAACGCACATAGCAGGAGAATCCTATTCTGTTAAATTGTGTGTCAAGCTGAATTTGCTCAAGATAAAAGACTTAATTCAAAAATCTTAATAATTAATCATAAATTTAAAATCTTTTATAAAATTTAAATTTATTTTACTAAAAAAAAGCATAAAAATCAAATTACAAACTTCATATCCAACTCCAAAAAATCAAGAACATTGATCAAAATTTATTAAAACAAAACAGAATAATTAATAAAGAAAAATGATAAAAAGAACTACATTAAAGCATATAGGTTGAATTCAAGTGCAGCAGCCACCTGCAGAAACACAAGGGAGCTTATGAGCCCTAGCTACTGATGGTTTACTACCATATCCAATTTTAATTCCATTACTGTCATTTAACGCATCAAATTCTCCATCTTTAATCTTTTTACATATTTTTCCAGCTGTTTTCACGAACGCCTCTTCAACGTTTTCTGCACTTTTCGCCGAGACCTCCATGAACATCAAACCATTCTCCTTCGCAAACTTCTCGCCTTCTTCAATACTTACAACGCGCTGCTTAATGAGATCACACTTGTTTCCGATCAACATAATGGTCATACTCGAATTCGCATGTCGCCTTGCATCTTCTAACCAAGAAGTCAAGTGATCAAATGTTTCTCTCCTTGTTATATCATAAACAAGCAATGCACCTGCTGCTCCTCTGTAGTATGATCTTGTTATCGATCTGAACAATTCTTGACCCGCCGTGTCCCCTATTTGTAACTTGATTGGTTTCTTATCAATGTTGATCATCCTTACACCGAATTCCACACCGATACTGACGTCGTGGACGAATTGAAAGTGGCTGTCAGTGAATTGAAGTTGAATGCATGATTTTCCGACTCCAGTGTCTCCGATTATTATGTATTTGAAGAGGTATGCATAAGACATTTTTTTTTCCTGTTAGGGTTTTTTGAAGTGCGAATAACGAATGACAGAGAAGGAAGCAATATAGAAAGTAAGGTGTTGTGTTGATGATTCCAAAAACGATGCAATATTTATAGGCATAAAAATCATAACAAGATAATTGCTAAGTGATAACAAACCTAGCAAATCTCTTGCAAGATAAGATAAATCAAAATAATAGTAACTAACTAACTCCAAAAAGTAAATTTTTTTAAGTAAAGTCAAAATTCAAAATATTTATTGAGAATTCTTTTTATACTTTTAGCCAAATAGAGGTCGAAATTCAATATTGTAAAGTCATTAATCTATTTTTTAGGGAGATATCTTGGTCGGTAGTTTTTGTTGATTGCTTTTATTGTTTGTTCCCTCTCTTTCATGTTGTTGCTCTTTTTTATCTTTTGCTTTTATTGAATTTCATACTTTTAAAATATTAATACTACTCACACATGTGCGATTAACACTAACAAATTTTTAAATTAAAAATTAATGATTTATATAATATCTCATTTTCACTCAATATTTCATTAAAGTTTTAAATAAATTTTCTAATTATTTTTTAAAGTTCGGTCATGCATAATTTAACTTATAAATGCTTGCCAATAAATAATTTTGAAAATTTTTTGCGTTGATTTCGTAAAATATAATTCATCTAAAAAATATCAAAATTATTTGGCTAAATTCAGGATTCAAACTCAAAACATCGTAGTTATATGCGTAAGTTTTTGGTATTTATTTAAATTTTTTCTCGCAACAAAAAAATAACATGTCTTATTCAAATTTATACGTTATAATAATATTTTTAAAAGTGGGAATAAATACTCACATTTAACTTATTTTTTAAGGAGTTGGCAAAGTATCATTTTCTTTTGCTTTTGGACTCCAACAAACATTCTTTACTCACCCTCTTAAAGATTAAATAAATATCTTTTTCACCCGGTCTCTTTAGAAATTAACAAATATTCTTTAATCAACCTCTTTGATGTAACATTAAGATATACTAATAGAACAATATATAGTAGATGTAAAATTTCTTACACTTGTAGTAATTTTAAAAATTAACAACAAATATAAGACTGCAAATCGAAGAAAATAAAAACATAAAAGAATATCGATATTTTAATGTGGAAAACCCCTCAATATGAGAGTAAAACCACGAGTTGTTCAAACTAAAGAAGTAGTTTCACTATAATCAATTAAGGGTACAAAAGAGTTTTAAAGTGATTCACAAACTAGTATGCATTTACAAGAAAACCAGTAAACCGGGTAGGATGAAGGTCAAGGTTTTCTGCAAAAACCCATCCCCTCTCACATGTGGGTTCTAGTCTTGAACAGAGGTTCCTAACAGTCCTCAACTTCTCGGGCTCTCAGGTCGAGAAATAATAATACATTCACAACACCCTGTTTGACATTATTACCCCTCAAGGAGGCCTCCACTAATTTCCAAAGAAAGGTCTCCAGAGTCATAAATTCTCTATTGCATAACATGCAGGACAAAGTGTCCTCAAGAAAACCTCGTCTGAACGAGGATCATGTGCCAACTATACATATCAAACGCTACGCAAATTAACACAATTCTACTCTAATCCTATGTGTATACTCAAGTCTGGGTAGTGGACTCATCTCTTAGTACAACTCATCCCAACAACAGAACAGTATCCAGAATAACGTGAGCAGCAAGAGTAAAATGCAATGAAATGCAAATGAATAAGCAGGCAAAACATATAGATAAACACCCAAAGAAAACAAAACAAACAAGAACTAGGACTTACTCACTTAGGGAACCAAAGATCCCAAGCAGAGTCGCCAGTTATAGCTACGCAAAAAAACAACTGGAAAAGACACTGAGTCGCCATTGAACTTTATTTATCCCAACGGGGAAAGGAAAACATTAAGAAAACCTCAGAAGGGAGAGAACATGGTCTCGCAACCAAATTCGGGGTTCAAGAGTCGATTACGCAAGGGGAAGGTGTTAGTACCCCTCACGTTTGTTGTACTCAATGGGATCCACTCTTGTTGTTCTAATCAAATGGTATGTATATATAAAGGTTACTTGCTAAGGGAATGCAAAAATATATTATTGAGAAAA